GCTGGGGGCGGGGCCACAGCCATACAAGGGAAAACTCTATGGTTTTCCCTTGTACGGTCGTGGCCCCGCCCCCAGCGTGCCCAGCATCATAACGTCACTTCCTGGTGACGTATGTGCGGCGCGCGTGCACTTGGCGCGCACACACTCCGGGGATCCACCCGGGAGTCCCCCGCCACCAAGGTAAGTTCCACTTGGCAACCCTAGTCCTTCTGCATGCGAAGGAAATGCTTAACCCCAAGCAAACAGTTGCTCTTGCTTCCTAGAAGGAAAGAGAGATGTGGCGTCTTCCTTTACAACCCAGAGATCCAAACAACAAGGAATTGTCACAACGGAACCACAACAGTGGTGTAATAAAACTGGTATGTAAGCAACATAAGAGGCTGGAAAAGGAAGGTTCAGAGATAGTTCAACTGTTTGCTCCTGACCCCACCAAGTTTTCTCCTTAATGCTACACCTGAATGCTCCCTCTAAGCTGTGGAGTCTTGTGAGCAAAAATTCTACTTTGTGAGCTACCGGCACTAAAGTTGTGAGCCAGCGATTTGGCTACGGCATCAATTAGTTTGCTCTGGAGCCATCCTTCCCGAGCTGAGACAAAAATGTGTGTGAGCTGGAGGCTGAACAACTGTGACTTTCCCAGAAAAGATGGTCAAAAGTTTACCAATGGTTGAATAAGTAATCTGTATAAAAGACTCTATATATATCGTGCATTTTGAACATGTGTATATGTGGTTAAGTGAGATAACTGAATAAAAATACGTTTAAAAACAAAACAAAACTGTGGCCTAGCGCACACTAACTCAGCTTAGAGGGAACACTGTACCTGACTCATCGGGTTCCACCTTTCCTCTGCCCCCGCACCCCTCCTTAGCCCCTGGCCACAGGCCACTTTTTCTAAAACAACAGCTGCTACTTCGAAAGAGTCTTCCTTACCCTGATGGGGTACACGACGGCTTCCTTCACTAACTGTTTGGCCGCATCGAGTCCGATAATGTCACCCCACTGTACATTCGGGTTATGAAGGTAAATATCCTGCAATGGAACATTTGATCTGTTTTAAAAACGTAACACCTGCTTCCCTGTAGGAGCTATTTTATCTTTGAGGTGCAATTTTGTCCTTCCCTTCCCACCAAGGGGATCACGGCGATGTACATGGTTCTCTCATCATTTACCTTTTCTTCATTTTATAAAGTTTATATCCCTCCTTTCTGTACTCATAAGGGCTGCCGAAGTGGCTAACAAATTAAAATATATATAATTTAAAAAGAATCACATCTTAAAAACCATTAAAACAAACAAAAGCACATCTTAAAAACCATTAAAACAAACAAAAGCACATCTTTAAAACCAGAGAACAAACTGTCTCCGATAGAAAGAGAGAGGGGGTGGCCCGAAGGCCTGAGGAAAAAAATCCTCTCAGAGGATTGACGAAAATAAAGTTTTTTTTGTTGTTGTTGAAAATGAAAAGAAAACAAAAGGAAACCAAGGAGGGTATCCAAAGGAGAAAAAAGGTTGAAGAGCTGAGAGGCCCAGAGGCAGCTACAGCGATCCGATGAGGAGATAAGCAAAGTAAGTCCTTCCAACGTGGCGATAGGAAAAAAACTGGCGGGATGTCCGCGCCCGTCCCTCTGGGCATGCGCAGTGGGGTTCCTGCGCTTGCCTGAGGGGATGAGCGCGAAAATCAGTCAGAAAAGAGCTTGCTACAGCACCGATGAATCCAGCGCGGGCGCACTAGATCCCATTGGTGTGAAGCACAGAGACCACGAAGAAGATCCACTGAAACCAGAGCTAAAAGACACAAGACACCATACAAATAATTAAAACACTGGGCAGGAAGGATGGATTGCTGAGAGAACACCAAACGAAACAAAAATCTGCAAAACAACCCTGCGAGGCTGGACAGACTGAGAGAGAATGAATGGCTCTTATCCATTGACCTTCATGGTGGGCAGGTACTTTATAGTTTTACATAGCACCTCCTGCTATGTAAAACTATAACACGGAAAAGAAAAAAGAAAAATGGACCACCAATGGGACTGTTGCACTGAACTCCCATCCTTAGACGTTTGGTGGAATGTTTGCAAATAGAAACTTCTGTTGATTGTGAAAAGGCGACGGCGTTACACTAAGCTTCGATAATACAGAGACATAGTTATTATGTCACAGTTGTATTTGGTTGCTTACCAGCCTCCAGGTGTGGCCTGGAGATCTCCTAGAATTACAACGGAGCTCCAACAAACATGGATCAGTTCCCCTGGAGAAAACTGCTGCTTTGGAGGATCGACTCTATGGGATCACACCCCTGGCTGATCTCCCTCCCCAAACCCTCCCCTCCTCAGGTTCTATCTCCAAACCTCCAGGAATTTCCCAACCCAAAGGTGGCAACACTAAATCATACAAAGAAAACCTTTGAAGTTCTGTGGGCGGCTTCATCTAGTGGTGGCAGGATGCTACCATTCGGGACGATGCTGACACCCCAGCAAGCCCAGCATCCTCATCTGCCAGCAACCACAGAGAAGAAGAAGAAGAGATGGGATTTGTACCCCGCCCTTCAATACCCAAAGGAGTCTCAGAGTGGCTTACAAACTCCTTTCCCTTCCCCTCCCCACAACAGACACCCTGTGAGGTAAAAGAAGAAGAAGAAGACACTGGATTTATACCTCACCCTTCACTACCCAAAGGAGTCTCAGAGCGGCTTACAAACTCCTTTGCCTTCCCCTCCCCACAACAGACACCCTGTGAGGTAAAAGAAGAAGAAGACGACGACACTAGATTTATACCCCGCCCTTTACTACCCAAAGGAGTCTCAGAGCGGCTTACAAACTCCTTTCCCTCCCCCTCCCCACAACAGACACCCTGTGAGGTAAAAGAAGAAGAAGAGATTGGATTTATACCCCGCCCTTCACTACCCAAAGGAGTCTCCGAGTGGCTTACAAACTCCTTTCCCTTCCCTTCCCCTCCCCACAACAGACACCCTGTGAGGTAAAAGAAGAAGAAGAAGAGATTGGATTTATACCCCGCCCTTCACTACCCAAAGGTGTCTCAGAGCGGCTTACAAACTCCTTTCCCTTGCCCTCCCCACAACAGACACCCTGTGAGGTAAAAGAAGAAGAGACTGGATTTATACCCCGCCCTTCACTACCCAAAGGTGTCTCAGAGCGGCTTACAAACTCCTTTCCCTCCTCACAACAGACACCCTGTGAGGTGGGTGGGGCTGAGAGAGCTCTTGACATAAACTGCTGTTTTTCAAGAACAGCTCTGACAGAACTATGGCTTGCCCAAGGTCATCCAGCCAGGTACAAGTGGAGGAGTGGGGGAATCAAACCCAGTTCTCCCAGGTTAGAGTCCGCGCACTTAACCACTGCACCAAACTGGCTCTTGACACGATCCTGGTGGAAGATCTCCTGCATAAACCCCACTTGAGTGAATGGGAGTCATGGAAGAGCAGAGATTCAGTTCAGTGGGGTTCATCCAGGGGACCATCCCCTTGAAATGCACTCAGAAATGTGGCATTCATTAAGGGTGTTCCTCATGTCTGGTTTTGGGACTGAGACAGAGACTCCTTGAAGAATAGGGTGAATTTCTCAACCAATGAGCATCAGAGGTAACTTGTGTGGACTGGAATAGAAGGTTCAGTCCTACCCGGCTCACGACTGCAGCAAGTTCTCGCATCTCACCGGTCATCCCGATGAAGGCCCCAAGAGGTTTTAATAACCGTTCCTATAAAAAAACAGAATAAAAAGACTTCTGTTGTTCTGCAAACTGTGTAAAAAAGAATTGTTCAGGACAGAATTTTTGTGAAAATAAATGTGTTGCTGCTTGCTTGTTGTGAATTAATCCCTTGCAATTCACCTTGATGACAATCATTTGAAGAGACTGGATACGTTTTTTAAAAAAAGATACACTGTCAAAACCACTGTTCCGGAGGAAGAGAGGGTTAAAGTATCGTATATTGTAAACTCTGCATCCAAGAGGATGGGGGGGGGGAGGGGTTAAGAGAATTCTCTCATTTGGGTACACTCAGCCATTGGCCTCCCTCTCATTGGCTGGATGTTAAGCCTCTTTGGCCGTTGCTTGCCTTGTGTGTTTCATCTTATATAGGACCGTTCTTCTTCTCTCTCTTACCTGGGCTTGGAGGTGTAGCGAGTTAACCTTTCTGAAGTTAATCTGTTCACACTAAGTTAAATGTACCTACATGAATATGTCATGTAAAATGTGCTTCTAGTTCTGTAAGTAAAATTTCTTTCTCTTGTTACCATTGGAGTTGGACCATGTTTGCAATTTGTTTGAACAGCATTTTTTTCCTTTCACCGAGAAATGTGGAGGATCAGGGGTATACTGCATAAAGCTCCTGTACTTCCCAGGCAAATTAATAATTTCTTTGCACTTAAACCAACAGAATCAACTAAACCACCCCTTTCGCAATTTAAACTGTGGCCCTTGTTAAAACGTATTTGTTGATGGGGTCCCATCAACTGATACTACTACCTCCATCACTCCAGCCCCTGCCTGCACACCCTTCTAACTCTTCAAGAGAAGACGAAGAGATTGGATTTATACCCCGCCCTTCACTACCCAAGGGAGTCTCAGAGCGGCTCGCAAACTCCTTTCCCTTCCCCTCCCACAACAGACACCCTGTGAGGTAAAAGAAGAAGAGGAAGAGATTGGATTTATATCCCGCCCTTCACTACCCAAAGGTGTCTCAGAGCGGCTTACAAACCTCGTCTTTGCCACTCCAATTAATTAGATCAAACAAATGCATGTTTATTTCTCTACCATTCATACTATAATAATTTCGGATCCCTGGCTGCAGAATACTAAGTATTTTTATTTTTTTTTGCAGAAAACCGAACACATGTTATTTCCACCGAGGTTTTCCACTCATGGAATTACTTCTCAAATTTACTCTACCGGCAGGAAAGGCCGTCACTCACCGATGGGTCGGGATTGCAGTTCAGGCTGTGCAACGCAATTTCGCTCGATGCTCCTTTGATTGCATCTTGGATCATCCCACGGAAATCGATGATTTGGCCCTGAAGGAGATGGAAGCCGGGCTTGTTAAGAGAGGGATATGCAGAATAATAATAATAATCTTTCAATTTATTGATCGCTCAATCCTTGCAGAGCTGCCGGCTCGGAGCGATTTACAGTTACTCATGTGTTGACACAGGACTAACAATGATGGGGGTAAGAGAGGACAACATATATCATTTTAATCACACACACTTCGCAGTCGACAGGGAGTTTGGTCAGCTGTAAGCATCAGACGTGTTCTGGCAGCATTCTTCGTCGGCGTCGCTTGATGTCGTCAGCATTTTTCTCAGTCACAGCACACCACTGCCACTGTCTGGCTGGAATGGCCCATTGCAGGCTTTTCTTTGATGCTGCGTAGGTCTCTCTTGGCTTTTGATCTTACGCGCGGACCTTCCGTTTGTCGGCTAACACTTCCCACCAGGATATGCATCTGGTCTGAAACTGCCCCCCAGCGGGTCTTGAACCCAGATCCTGATGGGCTTAGACTCCCTCCCACCACCAAATACTGGCTACAGCAGGGAAACAGGGTAACAAGCCAGATGAACCACAAGGCCTCGGAACGGAAGTACACCGAAACAGGATATATGTTAAGGTGTGTTAAGTGCCGTCAAGTCGCTTCTGACTTATCGCGACTCGATGAATTAATGACCTCCAAAACATACTCTTGTTAACGGCCTTGCTCAGTTCAATCCATCTCATGTTGGGCCTTCCTCTTTTCCTGCAGGCCTTCAGCTTTTCCTAGCATTATTGTCTTTTCCACTGAGTCTTGTCTTTTCATAAGGTGTCCATAGTATGACAGGGATATTAGCTTCTAGGGAGAATTGAAGCTTGAAGGTGGTAAGGACCACCCTATAAATACTTCCTCATCTGGCTATGTCTCTGATCCAAGCAATGAAGACAGATCTGGTTCTTGCCCCCTGGAGACCCAGCCCTACGAGGAAAGGCGGAGGGACTTGGGGATGTTCAGTCTGGAGAAGGGGAGGCTGAGGGGGGGGGACAGGATGGCTCTCTTGAAGTATTTGAAGGGCTGTTACTTAGAGTTGGGCAGGGAGCTGTTCCTGTTGGCAGCGGAGGAGAGGACTCACAAGAATGGGTTTCAACGAAGGGTGGGAAGATACCGGCTGGATCTTAGGGAAAACTTTTTGGCAGTCAGAGTTGAGCAACAGTGGAATCAGCTGCCTAAGGAGGTGGTGAGCTCCCCCTCCCTGGCCATCTTTAAGCAGCGGCTGGAC